ATGATCCGTTTTACACTTACATGTGTGACCAGATACCCAAACTGGGGCAGAAAAATTTTCTTTGTTTTTGTCTATTTTGTTGAAATCAGGAGCCCACCCGGAGAGCAGGGAATACATTTCAAGTCAGCAGTCAGGAGCCCGCCTGGAGAGCAGGGAATACATTTCAAGTCAGCAGTCAGGAGCNGCTCACCTGGAGAGCAGGGAATACATTTGAAGTCAGCAGTCAGGAGCCCGCCTGGAGATCAGGGAATACATTTCAAGTTTAGCAATCAGGAGCTCGCCTGGAGAGCAGGGAATACATTTCAAGTTCAGCAGTCAGGAGCCCACCTGAAGAGCAGGGAATACATTTCAAGTCAGCAATCAGGAGCCCACCTAGAGAACAAGGGAGTACAATTCAAGTTTTAGCTTTCAAGTTCTTATTGATATTTGGTAATGTGATTCGTTTTACACTTACATATGTGCCCAGATACCCAAATGGGGGCAAAAAAGTTTCTTTGTTTTTGTCTATTTTATTGAAGTCATGAGCCCGCCTGGAGAGCAGAGAATACATTCAAGTTTAGCAATCAGGAGCCCGCTTGGAAAGCATGGGAATATAATTCAAGTTTAGCAGTCAGGAGCCCACCTGGAGAGCAAATACAGTTCGAGTTCAACAATCAGGCGTCCACCTGAAGAAAAGGAAAATCATCTCAGATTGCAATTCAAGTCAGCAACCAAAGAATCTCGCGGCAAGAATGCGAGTCAACAGTCCGAGGTGATCAATAGAAGTTAGTCACAATAAAGAAAAAGAGAGAAAGGCAAGAAATGAATCCAAATGCAGAAGTTGATGGAAGATGTGAACTGCTTAAGACATGGTGGAAGTCATAAGGACTACATGTCCGGTCTTGATCCAAAGAGCTGTAGAAGAACGAGCTAGCACCTGCAGCTAACAAGCGCCAAGGTTCAAATCTAAAGTCTACATGAAGAACCATTCAAGACTCAAGATCAAGCTTCAGCAGACTTATAGATAGGAATCTTGTAATTCGTAGTTGACAGGCTTAGCTAGTCTTTTTCATCTTTTGATTTTTGATGTAATAACAGGACTGCGGACCGGAACCTCGGCGGAACGGCACCTTGACCGGCTCTTCACCTCGGCATACTCCATCATCTCACTCACCTCTGAACTACACGTGGCATGATTCCTTTATAGCCAAGGATATGTAGGCAGCTCAGATACCATGACTCGGNCCATTTTTTCCTAGTTTTGGTCTCTTTAAATAAGGGTCGGGTCAAAATACCTATCTAGTCGTTCTTCGTTTGAAAATGCTTCGCGTTTCCAGTCAAAGAGGGGCAGCTGTAGACATGTGATTTTTGACCCTCCCCAAGATTTTTCATATTTTAGCACGTAAATATTTAATTTAGGCCTAATATAGCTATTTCAACTATTTTTGACTACTTTCCTTTATTTTCGTCATAAAAATGAAAAATTACAAAAAATATGTTAGCTTACGTATCTTTCATAAATTTAAATAAAAAATATACAAAAATAGTACCTTATTTTTATCCTTACATAATCTTGAAAATACAAAAAATATATAATAGTTTCATGTCAGCTTTTGCATTATGTAGTATTTTTATCTTATTTTAAAAGGAGTCGTAAGGTGTTGGATCATAATTTTAAGAGTTTTAGAACTCAGTTCTTGGCCCAATTCGGATTAGTCCATTAACCCTAGGGACCCTTCTAGACTCTTCTTTGGAATAAAAACAAACAAAAAAGACCCTAGGGACCTAATACACAAAAGACCTAGGGACTAGTTGGCAAAATATACAAAATATAGACCTAGACCTAGGGAATATAGAGGAGGGGCGAGAAAATCTGAAGGGGGGGGGGGGG